TCTCTTTGAGCCAATTAAAAAAGTGTCCTCAAAATTTGGTGGCGCCCTCTTCACAAAAGCGCACTCTTTGCGAACAGAGTTACCCTACTTGAGTTTTTAAAAATCAAAGTGAAACTAGCAAGTTTTGGGATAAATTTCGGAAGAACGCTATTTTAAAATGGTTACCCTGACAAAAAACCTGTTCCGGAGGAAAGGGTGATGGGTTTTTTCGTTTAATTTGACTTTAGAATGAAAGGCGAGAGGTCATTAAAATTTAAAAAACCTAAAACTCCGCACTGAACTTACCCGAACTGCTGGTGAACAGCAGTCGATCTGCGCACGCAAGGAGGTGCTATTCCTATTCTTCTTCTGGAAAAACGAAAGAGAGCTTCAAAACAGACTGCAGCGCCATCTGAAGCAAAGAGCGTACTTCCTGCGGACACTTTTTTGGCTGAGTGGCCCATCTTGTTATTTACTATCATTGATACCACATAAATCTGTGTCCACTGGTGGTGGGCGGGTCTCGATTATTGCAAACTAGGAATCGTAGGAATCGAGTCCGAGACCAATTTCTTTCCACTGTAGTGAATTCTTCCCGTGGTTCTGACCCTTAGACAATTACATGATTTCTTCCGGCGAGTAGCAATTACTTCCGATGAATCCAGCACCTAGCCAATTCCGAGCGAGGCACCAACATTTGTTTTCGAAAATACGTTTTAATTTAAAAAATAAGACCATTTTGATAAGTAAAGTAATTGATAACCGTTGGTTCACGTAAAAGGGAATCGGAACTTTTCATCTGTAGCACTAACACCGGGAATCGGTTCCAGAATTGATTTTTCGCCCAGCTCTAATGTCCACTGATTCTCCCCCACAAGATTAACCATGACTGACCAAATGAAAAGTAGAAAAATACAATACTTTAGTTGTAATTATAAAGCGCCACCAGACCAGTAGGAAACAGGTGCTTGAAGGAAGGATGTGGGGCAGATTGGCCAGGGGTGGACAAAGAACAACATAGACGGACAAGACATGGGCTGGTCAGAGTATGGCAAAATGTAATACGGCAGGAGGCGACAGTGAGCACTGGAGGGTCATTACACGATAACCCCTGAGCCAGAGATTACTCCTCCAAGTATCCAGGCATTATGTCTGTAGACTGTCTCTTTGATTCCATCGAACCATCTCTTCCTTTCACTCAATATTCTTCCAAAGTCAGCCATAGCCTGCTCCTACCGACTCAGTCAAATGATTTCTTCTGATCCTTGAATACTATGTCTCTGCTACATTCTATAGCTCTTCCACTTCCATATATATTTGTCTCAGTGCGAAGATGGCGTTTATCCTACTTTTCCTTTTGTGAATCCAAACTGCATGATGCCCATGTTTCTTTCTACACTATGTGTCTTATTCTAAGTTCAAGGACATTAGCAAACATTTTTCCAACATAGCTAAGTAGTAATATACTCTATAAGTGCCACACACTCTTTTGTTGCCTTTTCCCCACACGGGTACCACGACATTGTGTTGCCAGTCCTATCAGTATCAGGGCATCGTGTTTAATGTTCCCACACTGCGCTGAAGACTCGTTTGAGCCACAGTGTGCTGATATCTCCGCAAGCCGCAATTGTTTCAATAGCGATGTCATCAATACACGAAATAGAAGGTACACCCAATAAATAAATACAACAAAACATCTGGTATCCTCGTATGTGGACAACCAAGGACTGTTATAATAAAAGACTGGTGACGTTAAAGCCCAGCGAGAGCGTGGTACGTTAATTAGAAGTTATTATTATTAAGTCTACAAACGCATGTTTACTTCGTTCTGTGGGATTCAGTGAAATGTTTGGTGGCTAAGCCCTGAGCTCGCTACAAACACATTTTTAAGTTTGCTTTACTGCCGGACATGGTTGCATGGCAGCGATCCAGACAAACTAACCTCGCGGGCCAGATCTGGTTCGTGGGCCATAGTTTGGTGACCCCCGACCTAACAATCTGATCAATTGAGAGTGTATGTACATGTACATACCGATAAAGAAAAAGATATAACTTTGTAAATATTTTCCTCCATAATAATGTTTTGCGCTTCAAATTTTAATCAGAGTGATAAAAAAAACTGTACAACTTTTTTTTCTAAATATCTCGCCAAAAAAAAATTGTACTTAAATGTTGTAAATTGGAACATGTATAATTCATTCGAAAGGAATTTGTTTGACAAAAAATTCACGAAGATAAAACGTATTTTCGAAAACGAAAATGGGTTCATAAAAACCACCAATAAATGCAAAATGCACCAATTTAAAAGATCTTGTAAGGAAGCTCATGAAATGATTGGTTCGTTTTATTCTTTTTCTTTCTTTTTTTCAAATCTAATCTTTCCATCCCTGTGACCTTTAAACAATATTTTTTTCTCCTACAGAATTTATAATTTTTTAAAATAAATTCTGGAATTCCGAGAACCAATGAATATATTATGTCCTCCTTTGGATTCGACAAATTTTAAGGCGTCGTTCGTAATGTCCAATGGGGGCCAAAAACATGGATCCACTCAAGCACGTGTACTCCTAGCCTCACACACTGTACACCTTACAGTATGGAGCTGTTTTTAGAGATAATAGGAGGGGGTGAGGTTGCCCCCCAAAAAACAGCATTTGTGGAGTTGATATAGCCTGTAAGGTGAACATAGGCTTTCCCAATGAACCAGGTCGTTTTGTCTGGGAATTTTTAGTTCAGATTCTCTACAGGTCCTAACTGGTGGACCTAATCCACCCTTGACATCAAAGAAGGCCTTTAGGGCACTTTAACATTATTTCCGTACCTTGTGCGAAACTTACGAAATGAGTTGGTGGAGAGGAAATGTTCAATCCAAAAACTCTCTGCTCTTTACAAATCGTAACCATGATCTCAGCAGGCAAAGGAAGCTTGAGAAAAACTATCTGCAAACTTCTGTTGGCCTGTTAGAGTACTGTATTTTGCAATAGTGCGCAGTCGTTGGAATTTTTAGTGGTATGTCTGATGCCAACTATATCTAGTGCGTCATGCTACAAAAATGGGGACAAAGTTGAAAATGGGTTGTTTTGTTTTTTTACGCGCTAAGTAGAGCAAAACTATTCTGTGGGTTTATCTAAAATGAATATCAGACAAATTCCTTTTGACTTCCAAATGCTGTGTACACATTTAAAACGTAAAACTTCAGTGTATAGAAAAATATTAAGAAAAAAAGCTGCACAGGTTGTTGTTTTTTAATCACCCTGTATTTTGAATTCAAAAGGAAAATGGCTGATATTTTGTTTGTTTGTTTGTTTGAGTAAAGAGAAGCACATCGACACAATATTGGTCAATTAACGGAAACAACAGATAGGAAAATAAAGAAGTAGGACCTACCAGTGGTGCCCTCCAAAAACCCACAGACTGATATTCATTTTTGATCATTTTATGATGCTTGAAAAAAAACCCAGTACATTTTCAATCTTGTCCACATTTTTTACATGACGCTTCAGTTTGCATTCGTTCTACATTAAAAGTCGAAAACGATCAATCCATTATATCACTAGTCCGCCAGGCCAACAGAAGTTTTACAGATATCGCTTTTCTCAAGCTTCCCTTTGCCTGCTGAGATCATGGTTTAGTTTAATAAAGAGCAGAGAGCGGGGTTTTTTTTAACATTACCTCTCCACCATCTCATCATCCTTGACATTTCGTCGGTCCCTCACAAGTTACGGGAAGAGTGCTTAAGTGCCCTCAAGACTCAAGGCCCTCTTTGACGTCATGGGTAGAGAAGTTCCGTCAGTTTGGATCTCTAGAGGTTTAAGACTAAAAACTCCTAGACAACATGATCACTTGAGGTCGCACAGGCATCATTCGAACCCCTACATCCCCAGGGGCTGCAAAATTCAGTAAACGAGTCCCAAGAGACTTCTTGTCCGCAGACGGTGCTCATCTTACAGCTAGGACTTTCCTACACCGCAACGGTCCGCGTTCTCAATTAAGATTTTAACCTACAACTGGCTAAAATAGCACCCAGACTTGGATAGCTGGTGCCTCTACAAATGCAAATAAATTATTGATGATGTACCATATTCTTCATGGTAAGCAAATGTTTAGTGGGACTGACAGGGGTAAGAGAATGGCAATGTGTCAGTGGTTCCGCCATCTGCTTGAAGAACGTGAAAAATTTCCTCCATGACACTTCGCCGTCGCACACAAGAATCCTAAGCTCGATTCCCGAGTAGGGAGAATTTTCATCGACTACCTCAGTCTGTCTACTGGGATGCTGTATCCCTCTCAGCCCGAGTTGGCCCTAACAGGCAGGGTCAAACCTGCCTCCTAAACAATCTCAATTGTGTTCATGGGGGTGTAAAAACAAATACATTAAATAAAAAGAAAAGCTCATCATTAATGTAAATTATTTTTCCATATAAGTAAGAGAGCAATTTTCACGGTAAGAACCTGACCTAGCTTCAGAGTCTTTATTGATAATCCATTCTGCTTGTTAAAATTTTCAGATCACTTTTTCAGCTCAAACAGCTGGCCACACAAACATATTCAGGAGATTTGGCAAAGTTGATGCCTGGCCATTCCTAGTGTAAACAGAGCAAACCTCACTACAATACCACCAGCCACCTTCTCAATTAAAGCGTAAAGCTGCAGAAACAATGCCCAAGTGTGTGTGTGTCTGTGGGTGTGTATGTTTGCGTGTGCGTGCGTACGTGCATGTGTATGAGAGTGTGTTTCTTTCTTTTTATTTTATAGTAGAGGTTTTACGGCGCACGCAACTGTGAGTGTGTGTGTGTGTGTGTGTGTGTGTGTGTATGTGTGTGTGTGTGTGTGTGTGTGTGTGTGTGTGTGTGTGTGTGTGTGTGTGTGTGTGTGCGCGCGCGCGTGGGTAAATACGTGGTGAAACACCAAACCAATGAGCCAGGATCTGGACAAAGATTTATCTTATTGTATACACAAAAATTGTGAAGCCCCCGAATGTTATCCCCAGATCATCAATGAACCGAAACATAACACATGTATTGTCATAAATGTTACCTTTTTTATTTCATGCATAATATTCAATTTATTCATACGGTAGAAAGATGAATGGGGGGATATGTGATCTAGGCAAGTATAAAATTCATATTGTTGGCGGTAAACTAAAACTTAAGCAAACGTTTGTCCGAGCTTGAAAAAAAAATTCAGTTTCTTTAATTTTTACCAAACAATAAACATTCTAGAGGTCTCGCGTAAATTCCTTTACTGATTTTTGCACAGATATTACCTTTTAGTATAAAAAAAATAAACATTCTTGTTTCTGCCAAAAATCACAAGATATTTTCAAGGAAAACAATATTAAATATAAATTTACCACAAAAAAAAACGAATCTATATTTGAAGTGTATTTTCAAGGATCTAAAATTTACTAATGTTGATTGAGAACCGAAGATTTTAGAAAGATCACCAATCACTAAAATTCTGTTAGCTTCTCAGCTCAGGCTATTTCATCTTTCACTAAAGAGGTACGTGTAGTTGCCCTCTGCCTGTACCAAGAAATCCACGCTCTTCACAGGGTCACAGCAATTTGACAAACAAAGGGGAAAAAACAGAGAAAAACAGCCAGTGACAAGCAGCATGAGTTGAGTGGAGCTGTAGGATTTATAGGAACAAACAAGTTGACAGGTGAGTCTAATGAAAATTTGTTTGAAAAAAACACAAAAAAACCACCCCACACCCGAGTACAGAGTGTGCAACAGCATGCATGTCGAGAAGAGAACATAGGTGAGTGCAGTTGCTCAGGACAGCCAGCTTTGACTACAACAGGTCTCGCACAAGAGAGAGACTAAGACTAGAAGGAGAGAGAGAGGGAAGCCAAAATGGTAACTAAAACTAGCCTGCTGAAACCTCTATGAATATAAAGCATTTTCTCTTCACAGTGATGCTGTTCTACTATACATAATACAAATTTTAAAAAATTAAAAAGCCACTTTAAATAATCAGTTCTGTGGAACCTAGTTTGCCTTGGGAACAAAGCACAGTGCATATAATATGAATATTAAAACTAACATATTCTTTATTTTTAAAAAAAAAGTTTAAAATGTTCATATGTGTTGTTGAGAAAAGCAAAAAAAAAGGACACATCTTTTCGATTACTTCAATCAGCTGATAGATGATATGATTCCATTTAAAAATACCTACCAAACACAAGAACAACATAAAAAACTTAATGACAATACAAAACGCATACTAAAAAAAAATTATCATTAAGGCAAAATGCATGTACTTGGGAGACCGAGGGAATCTTCCACCTAACAACACGCATCATGTAAGTAATGGCAGGAAGGTGGAGCAACGAAATTTGAAACAATGGCATAGGCTTTACAAGATTTGCTTTTCATCTGTAAGGATCACAACAAAATAGCCCTTAAAAAACAATCAGATTAACATACAGGTTGTGGGCAACACGACAACACGCTAAGCTAAAGCGTGTAGAACATCTGCCGCCCGACACACACGTGGGAAGTACACAAGGCAAGACAGTTGTATGACCTATTTCATAGCCTATTCTATAGCACAAAATACATGCACAAGATTCCCTCCCTACAAACAAACTGATCATTTAAAAGATATAAAACATGTAAGAACACTACTTGGCTCAAGATAAAAGCAAAACCAAAGTATTACACTATTTGGTTTCAAACAAAGGGAATGGTAAAACAAAGACTAAAAAACAAGTCTCAGAAATTGGCCGAGGAGGAAACAAAACGGATTGAAGGAAAGAAAGTAAAAATGAAAGAGAAATTGATTTTCACTTTCAAGTAGGGAATGCAGAAAAGGGAAACATACAGCTGCACAAGACGCACCAATTTTTCTGAGAAATGAGAATGTTCACAATCTATTTTTTCACAACTTTCCACAACCTCTATTTCCCACACACAAGATAAGAAATTGGGACTTCAAGACGGCAAGCCTGCATTACTACTTTTATTGCATGACTATGGTAGAGATTCGTACTATAAAAATTGATGTAGCGGTATCTTTTCTTCATTGTCAACTTTTGAAGAAAATCATGTGGCTACAGGCAAGGTTACTCTTATCTCACAAGGCATGACTATGAAGACAGGAACATAAACCACCAGGCCATGACCTGCTGTTCTACAGGCACTGCTTTCCTACTGGTGGCTTAATTCAAGTAATCCATGAATTGAAGTTCAACATGCTAAAGTATCTCTGTATGTAATGCGGATTATTAAAACCATACTGTTGGAGTTTTTTCTTCATTTCATAGTGCTCAGTCTAACTGGGGAAAGTTTGAAAAAACAAATAATCCCAAACGCTCAGTATATTCTGTCTGGGACAAATGAATAGAATCCAAGATAAGAAGTCTGCATACCTATACTTTATCGAAAAAAACAGGATGTGTAGGTAAATTTCCAGAGTGTAAAGTCGGAAACGGTGGAAAAAAAAAAAAGGGGGCAGGGGGGGGGGAGTAACAAAAACAAAAACTCAAGATCAAGCACTTACAAATACTAAACATATAATTTCACTTTGTCTCCAAAGTGTTTCCTTGTCACTCTCAATAATATCAGCACTGACAAGGAAGCATAAAGCTAAGAATGATTTTTTAAAAACCCAAACTGAAAAGGAGGAAGCTGGAGTATCTAGAAGCATTCTGGAGCCATGTACCCACACCCAAATCCAAGCAAACAATGTACATACTACAATGGAAAAGTAATACAATACCATGAAGGATTTTCATACTTCCATAACTGATCATAAATTTTCAAGCAAGGTAAGGCAAGCTATTATTAGTAATATGACTACGTCAAAACAGAAGATCTGTATATTTCATGTTACCAAAACTTTCAAAAAAGCGTGGATATAATCGTAACTATTAATACAATATATCTTGAAAGACAAAGAATTTAGAAAGCACAACACTGCCAGTTGCCATTACCAAAATGAAAGCAGGGTCTAGCGTATGGAGCTGTACAAAATGCAATTCCTAATATCCATGTATTCATGAAAAATAAATACTAAATTAATAACAGAAACTTCATGACATTAGCCATCCATGAGATACCTTAATAGCATAATGGATGTACATAATTGAACCAGTCATATGAAAAAGGGCTGTATTTTATAGATCAGGAAGAATTGAAAAAAAAACAACAAATGTTGAAGACTTGTTTGAGCCAGACAGGCCTCGAATGATTTATGCTTTAAAAAAAGAAGCAAAACTAGCCTCTCAATAATCTCCAAACAGCTTGCTGAGTTGAGAATGTAGCAGAAAGAAGTTTTTCTCTAATAAACTTTTTTAAAAACAAAACCCAGCGACTACACTGCAAATGACCTCATGCGAGATCTGATACAGGTTGGGACAAATCTTTCAATTTAAGTTCATTAAAGTCGTTACACATTATTTTTAAAAAAGTACAATTAAGTCTTACATATTTCCATCCATTGAGTACATGGCCAATTTTGTCAGTTGATAAAACATCAGATTTACAACTGTCTCCATTTTCATAGCAGCCATTTCATTTAACAGAGGTTAACACTGAAAGTACGATCATGCCATGTAGAAACTGATAGTGCCACTCTCCATTATCAATGAAGCATTTTGTAAAGAAGTCAACAACAGCAGATGATGTGGTATCTTACAAAAGCTGTATTTGCATATATAAAATTGATATTTTTGTTATCTATTTAACAAAACAAGCGTTTTTTCCCTTGGACAAATTGCCATGAGGTGATATGTGCAGGTTTTTTTGTGACTGCTACATTAGAGTGTGTGTGGACACAAACTCTCTTCGCATATATTTACAAATCATAATTTCATCAGGCCTTAGAGAATGTTTCTTCCTTTTCCTTCTAACCTTGGGAGTGATTTCTGTTCAACAAACACCAGAATCAGAACAACGTCAAGAGAAATGATAGCAATGTCACCAAGCACTGCTTTTCTCACAGTAGCTGCATTAGATTAGACTCTGAACAAGAAAGAGACTTCAGAAAACAGTCTGAGAAAGATTACAAAGACCTTGATACTATGCTGTGTGATTATAAAATTAGACCTGAGAGGAGGTGACCTGCAGTGACATAAAGAACTCACAGACTAGACGGATAGTTCTCTTTAAGGCCTCATATCAGGAGTAAAATGTAAAGACTGGAATGTTGACGTGTGCAAAATTGTACTGGACAGGATGACAGGGGCAGTATGAATTCATGCACTAACAGAACAGCTCCAAAATCAAAAAGCCATCATACTTCATGATGAACAACTTGCATACCAAAAATATAAGCAAAGAAACATATGTATGTATATATGTATATATTTATGTATATGATAAATGTTTATGTACATTAACGACCAGTAACAAACTAATTGTCAAAAACATTCACAAATAATTGCACTTTCCACACCACAACCACCGAAAGGAATGTCTTCCATATGGCCAATCTAAAAGAGTGATTGCAGCAATTTTCCTTATCATTTGAAGATACTCGGGGTGCTTGAACTTGAACAGACAGAGGACCAATACTCGATGGGTGAGAAACATTTGATAATAAAACAAAAGCTAAACCTATGACCAATCACAACCAGTGTAAAATCAAAATCTAAAATGAACGACAGAAGAAGTAAATGTAATATGTGAGGAAACATGTTGAGAGAAACCTTGCTGCACATATGTTGTGTGCAAACTTACTTTTCACAACACATATCAAACTTCTACACTAAAAAAAGCAGTGCCTGTGTAATGTCTTCCAACTACAAATCAGACTCACGCATAAGCAAAAGCATGTTATCACTCAAACCAAAAAAATAAGAGGGGACTTGATCAGATCAACAGTAACAGCAGAACCCATGTCGCGTTTTCAGCCTCTGATTCTACACACCCACACACATATATGCATATGTAGACAAAAAGACTTCTTGGTAGAAATCAGAAAAGTAGAACAAAATTTGTTTTCAAGACTCTCATCTCGATAGGACCGACTAAATTTTGCTATTCTTTCAAATTACTAAAACTGTGACACATACAGTTGGAAAATATGATCACAACCATGTTACCAGTTCAAATGCAGTGTACTACATTTTTAATAGAGACTTGGAAAAAAGTGCTTGCATTTCTTTCATGTGTCTCTACTCAGTCCTATTTCTTTCCAAGTTAAAAGGATGTTTACAAGATAAAAGGTACTTAAGGCAAACCATGACAAAAGAAAAGTTAGCTTTCTTACTTGACAATAAAACAATGTTTTTTCACTATGCATTTGTCACCCTTACTTGATTCTATTTCAAAACTGAAAATGGTATTTCTATAGACAAAGAGCTTTATATCATCTATAACCTCTATAAGTGGCATCGCTGAAGCACTACAAAAAATATGAAATTAAAAACGAAGAATCCAAAACAAAATGTTACCAAAAAAAAACCTCAGCCTAAACAGGATTGAAGCAAACGGAATGAACACAAAGAGGATCTTAGCATAGTCTGCCTTTAGAAATGGGACCTAGAAGGAAGACAGCACTGTCTCTAAACTAAAAGGGCAGTAGAAAACCATATAAAACGCACATAACTTTTTTAAATAAATGCTCAAGTAAAAAAAGAATCTCTACACTTAAGCTAAGATCTTTGGTGATCCTAATACGAAGCAATGAAGCATGTAAAAGCAAAACAATAAAATTCCAATGTTTCATCGCCCGAAAGGTACATTCAGAACTCATTCTCAAGGGACCGATGACGATAAGCAAACGCAAAAGACAATCTGAGTACACTTTCAAACCAAAAATAATTCTCTCAGTACACAGGTGTTTCAAGACCGCCTTTCCTAACATTTGATCAGACACCAACTCCTCCCATAGAATCATTTTTCTTGTGCTTTAAAAACTAAAGGATAACTGGCTGTTGATTTTACAGAACAAATTGGACATCTGCATGCTGCATGTAAAGGTTTGAGAATAAAAACCTACTAGCTGCTCAACACTCGAGCACTCTTGAGACTGAGACTACTCGTACACAACACTTTACCATTAGGTCTGTTGCAATTATTCATAAATTCTGAGACCACTGGAAATACAATAAAATGACACATCTCAAGGAGTCTATGGATGAGAATGGAAAATTGTCATTGTACATCCTTTCTCTCTATAGAACAAAGCAACATCAAAATGAGCTAAACTCTTACATCCTGATACTATTTTGATATATTTTAAAAAGCTGTTCACGTAAGGTGGGTGGATTACGTCAAATTTTTTTGAGCGACCTCATGAGTTAATATTATGATAATACAACAATTTCAAAGACAAGATTGGAAAAGACTTGGGTACGGTACACACCATTCGAGAATAGCTAAATAAGAAGACGTAAATAATCTCTATATCATTACCCTTTTCAGGAGGAAAAGCAACATAATTGTGCTAATCATCAAAAGTAGTAAGTCAATCAAAATCAAAAGCACAAAAACAAATTGATATGGGATGAATTTGAAGGTCCAAAAAATGTCAGAAATATCTGGAAATTCAAATTACAAGCAGGAAATACATTCATATTGCCTTTGAAAAAGCTGTTAAGGTTCAGGGACAACTGTACAGATTACAATGCGGGTATAGTCATCAAGTCTGTTCTGTGTACATCCGCTCTTAGCAATAAATATCAATGATAAACATGTCCACATCTTGAATTTGTACTACTGTTTATATGAAAAGCGTTAGAACTTACTTCCCACAGAGCTCTTCCAAACTCCTGTATTACAGCCACTAGTACTGGCACAACAGCAAGACTTGGGTGTTTAGTAGCGTTATCACCATGTAACATTTGTCAGTGTCTAGACCAGGGGGAGAGCAAACTGCAAACCACACAACAAATTTATGCAGTTGCTTCACGAAAAATGCCCTTACTGCTTTGAACCTGTAAATACATACAAACCATTAAAAAGTGCAGCGAGCACCTGTGATTACGTCATTGCCTTTTTAAAAAGAATGTATGAATTTTTAGGCAAACACATATTGGTTAAAAATTACATACACAAACAGCAGTCTCTGCCTCAGAATTTCATCTGCGACCTTCCGTTTTCTCCACCATATAGTGACTAATTCATACAGAACTATAAGTCCTATTCTGACAATAGTCTTATTTGTTCGTCTTACATTCAACATTTATACAGACTCCTGAAAACAGGGTTTTTTTGTGGATGCTACTGCATTAATATGAGCGAGTGCGAGTGTGCATGCATACATGTATGTGTGCGTGTGTGTGTCTATGTGCATGTGTATGTGCTTGTGTGTATGTGCCCACATGTCTGTATGCCTGTGTAAGAATGTGTATACACATATTCTCTCAGCACATCACGGACTCTGATGAGGCTTGTGTCGGTTAAAGTTTGGCCACCCCAGGTCCAGACAGAAATTCACACACCAGTTCAGCAGATCTCATCACCACAACCACAACCTGGACCAATCACCCATTACAATAAAACAGCCAGCAATAACTATTATTTATAACAATTGGCTTCACAATTCTGTCATGAGAGTCACTTTACGTTCCACCTTCTTGTCGGAGACCATCCAGGGAGAAATCTGTGAGTTGCTCGAGTTATGGCGAGAAGTAGCGCTCTCTGGCCGTGACCTGTCGATGGTGATCACCTGGCTCACAGCTGTTGTCTTGGCCGAGGCGGCCGCCGATGTCTTGCGGGTGACTGGCTCTGTGCGAGTGAAAGACGTTTCCTGCAGAGAGAAAAAAAAAGGGGATAAGGTAAGAGGCGAATGAGAATACAAGAATGTAGGTATATGAGAATAAATGTGTGCTTGAGTTTGTGTGTGAGTGTGTGTGTGTGTGTGTGTGTGTGTGTGTGT